GAGCCGAGCCGGCAGCTGAGCGGGGACACGGGCTGCCCGAGCGGTGCCCGGACGGGCAGCCGGGACCGCAGCGGATGCCTCCGGGCGAGGTGCAAAGAAAGCAGCCAGCGAGGCTGCATGCTAGCCCTGCGAGCGCTTTCTTCAGTGACCCTGTAAAGCGCCTCTTCAGACGCGCTGCTCCCAGCACCTTGCTCGATTGCAGCAGAGCTCACCTCTTCAGCTGTGCAGGCTTCTTCAGCCCCAGGCCAGACACCTAAGCAGAAAGCACGACAGTACACACACAGGCCTTTATATTTTTTATTTAAAATTTACATTAAAGTTAGAAAGGTATCAGGCTAAACAGTGCTGGTTCTTCAATGTTTCTCATGTAAATATGTAACTCAGTGCAGTACTCGCACACTCCCGTTTGTAAAAAGGAAACAAAAATAAGAGGGGAGACAGCAGAACGCAGCTCGCAAGGACGTGCGGCGAATGTTCGAGGGCAGGACAAGACGGACGAGAGGTGCAAGGACTGGCTTCGGCGCGTTTTAAGGACACCGCACTCTACGCGCCTGAGATTCGGATGGAGCATTATTACTGCTATTATACCAGCTGTGAACATCGCCTCTCCCTCCTGACACTGCTAAGAATAAGATCGTTTTCTAACTTTAAAGAACAGGAGGAGGTGCAAATATCTGCGTATTTGTAATGCAACTGATGGTCTAGTTAAAAAGAAAAGTACCACTCGACCCACCTCCATCAGGCAATGGAGCTTGTTTAGTAAGGTGGTGAGACACAGGAGGACACCAATGAAAACACATAGTTCTTCTTACTTTATTTCTTTGTTAAAATTAAGTATTTCGTGGCTGCCAACATAGCAAATTGCACCATGTTTATACTTCCTTTGACTGTGAATGCAACAGTTTCCAAAACCAATCAAACAACAGCATATTCAAAATACTCCTTAGGCTTCAAACCTTATGGAAGCCCATGATATTGATATCGTTAAAGACAAAATTAGAAAAAAAAAAAAAAAAAGCTCATAACAATGTTTGAAAAGGTATTCGCTACATCATTAGTCCAAACATCACATTTCTGGTGCTCTTCCAAATTTTAGGTAAACAATCAGTTTCCCCCCACGTTGTTCTGTCTTGTCACACAAATTACAAGACACTTCAATTTTAAATACCATGCAAGTCAGTAAAAGAGCTTCTTTCCAAGACACTAACACTGAAGATTTGTTTCCCCTCCCTCCCCAGACATAAGATCCCTAACCTCTTCTAGAAGTGGCAGTCTTCTCCCTCAGACCCAGTGCAGCTGGCGAAGACAGATTAAAAAAAGCTACAGAGAGAGAAAGGGGAAAAAAAGAGAAAAAACCAGAAGATTATCAAAACAGAGAAAGACATTCAAAAAGCAGGAAAAAGGAGATGCAACATGAAAACAGCTGACAGAGGAGAGATGGAACCTCCTGTATGAGGCTGTGCATCTTGTGGTGCCTAGGACTTCAAGGAAATCACACAAGTCAAACCTTTCTTTAAAAAAAAAAACACAAAAAACTTCTAATAACATTCTAATAAGGCAAATGGTCAAGAAAGCCAGCCAGTGACCTGCAGCATGGGAAACAAAAGCCAGATTAAATGCTCTTTTTAACAGATAACCTAGAAAACGCTAACAAAATGATATTGACTGGTTTTGGGAGCAGGCCTGCCGTCAACAGTAACAAAAGAAGTAAATACTGGAGTTATTTTAACTCGCTTTAAAAAAAAAAAGAGCCAAAGCATTTTAGGGGAAATAAAAGTGAATTTACAGTGAAACAGGATACCTGAGATAATATAAATACACTGCAATCAAGAGCTCTAACTGCTGATTGCCGCACATGGGGGCCACACCTCCGTCTGAGCCGGGGTTACTGCGAGCGGCTTGCTGCTCCTGTGAGAGCCCCCGCGACCAACCGCGGTGTGCACCGACCCCAAAAGTTTTGAGAACTGTTTTAAACTTGGCTCTTTATTTATGTTACAATGTGTATCACTGAATACAAACTTTTCATTTGGTAGCACTGATCCAAGATGATTTGAACGCCCTCTATCTGTGCAAATGAAAATACTTCAGAAGTAGAGGGTTTAAAGCAAAAATTTACCAGCAGACATGGGCCAGGAAGCTGGCTCAAATAACACGTCCCTGGATATCAGATTTTGCAAGGCAATGACAAGCTCACCTGACTGCGAAACATTGTCCTGAACTCACGATAAATGCTCTGGTGGTCAGAGCTTGGCTGATCACCGCAGCCCGCCTGTGTCCGACAGGGTATTGGTTTGCAGATAGGGAAGAGGGGAGAAGTTGTTCATGAGGTTGGAGCATCATCCAGACTACCTCTCTGGGTAACAGGCTAAGCAACAGCCTGCACTAAAAACTGCATTACCTCTCATGGCTAGGTCTGAGGTGTGCTCATCCTCCAAAAAACCTAAGACGTGAGGAGGCTTTGTTGAAACTATGCCAGGACATCCCGACCTTTCTGCAGGGTCAGGACACGCGGATTCCTCCACCTAGGGACAGCTTAGCCCGCGCACAGTGCAGCTGAAGCATCAGGGCCACAACAAGCAAGTCTGAAATGGCAATGAGTATTACATGCTGATTTTCAGGTGGCATGAATTAGCAAAAGGAAAAAAAAAAAGCAAATTAAAAAAAAGATAGATGATGTCACAAAATGACACCAAGTATAAAGAGAAAAGAGTTTTTAATCTCTCAACTATGCCATAATTAAACTAAGGTGGTGTTGTCATCTTAACGTCACCAATAAATACATTTAAACTGCATTGTTATTTTGCCAGCAAAAATAACTCACAGAACTTATTTCCACATCCCTTATTTATCTGGGTGGAGAGGGGCCAGGAGAAAGGGGAGTCCATTAATTGTGGGGAAAAAAAATAGATTTAAAGTTGCAGCGTCCAAAACCTCACCACGGACTTATTTTACATTGTTTAACAAAAGCAATAACCACCAGTACATAGTAAAGACAGATTTACAATGAGAATATAGGATAGGACAGAGCAAGGGTAACACCATGGAAAGGTCACAGCTGAAATGCTGTCACGTTTTATTAGACCCTCCGATTTAACAAGTAAATGAAGGTCCATTCCAGCCCATTGTATTCAGGGGTAATTACTCAGTACAGAGCCATGGGTTACTGTAAAAGAAGGGCAAAGAAAACAAAAAACAAAAGAAGTAAATGTTAACCAGAATTCACTGTCTGAGGAAGACTTTATTATTTTATTTTTTTAAAGAATTTCCTCATCCAGAAATACAGAGAAGACACCTGCAGGCAAACCACAGTTGTACTTGGCCACGGAGCAAATTCCTGGCCCCACTGAAACACAGAGCAAAACACCCTCCCTTTTAGTGCAAATCTTGCATTAAAAAAAGGCTTTTGCTGAATTGAAAACATAAAAAGCAATCGATCAACATCTGTACGCTCCTAAACAGATGCCAAATAAAAAAAAAAAAAAACTAGGTAATACTTTTTGCATTAAAACCAGAAATTGCTGGAGTTACTGAGAAGAAAGGTAAAGAAACATCATCATCTTTCTTTACAAACACTGATACTTAGAGCATGGTGAGCAGTTTTCCCTGAGATCGGATCCAGGATACGCATGCAGCCCAGCACAGCGACAGGCCGACACAGCAGGAGACCCTCGGGCAGCCCTGCAGCACTCAGGGAGCGCTCAGCTGCAAACCGTGGATCCACCTTTGAAAATCCCCCAAGCCCAGGGAGCGGAGGTTTGGGCTCAGGCCCATGCCTCAGAGGGTGTCAAGTTTTGCAAAAAGTCCTTTAACACTATTTGAGTCGCACGCTGGGTAACGATGGGTTAGACAGAGCGAACTGAAAGGGGAGGGGGCAGCCTCTCCCTCGAGACAGCGCGGCCCACCGCAACGCGGCATCGGGCGGCGTTCCCAGCGGTCCCACCACAGGCACTGAACGCACCAAGCAGCTGCGCTCCTACCATGCAGCCCTCACACCTAAACGGTGGGAAGGGACAAAAAGTCGGAACAATTTAGAAGGGGGGACGCTAGCACTATAAGGGCTCGGCAGCCTGCTATTGACCAAAAGAGGAGACATCAGCAATTAGCATCTTTTGCCAGTTCCACGTAGGCTATTGCCGAGCTCTTCACAAAAACTAGTAACCTGGAACAGCCAAGGGTGCGGGCTCTTGCTTAAAAAAAATGGTGAGCAGAGTAAGGGAGCAATGAGTAAAGGTGAGCAAAGAGGCACAGTGGCATAGCTGCATGTTAACCGAATGCGGGGGCATTCGCTTCTGGTGTGAAGGGAGGGGTTCTACAGGAAACCCGAACTGAAAATGAAAGAAAAAGGCAGATTAATGGTTTTATGGATTAATGACAAAAGACAAAATAAGAACATAAATATGCTTCCTAACACACACACACACACACACACAAAGGAAATGTTGCTAAGTGTTAATATTAAGTTTAATCTGACTACAAAACATGCTTTATGCAGGCACACACATGCAAACACGCACACGCGCTCAGCAGTGGGATGAACCAAACTTCATTTTTAAAACAATCCCTTCACAGTTCTGCAAGCTACAAGATTCATCAGCTGTGACTTGCATGCCTCCTTGCAAAACAGTGAAGCCCTGGAATACTTTATGGATCAATATTGAGAGATTTTTTTTCTGGATTCTGAAAAAGCACCACATATACATGTTTAGTTTAGCAAGGACAAATGCCCATTGAAAAGGCACTGCCTGCATTTGTATACTGGGAACAAAGAACTTGATTTGATTCAAAGCCCAGCACACAAGAGCGTACAGTTACAAGGACTGCCAAAAGCAATCCAAAACCAACAACAATCAGTAATGTTCACTCTAACTGCACTTTAGCAGCGCCTCCGTACTCAGCACCAGAATGAACACTGTTATTCTTTGAGCTTATTTTTCCACATTCAGCCCCTGAAAAGTGAAGGATTGTTCTTTTCATTGTTTTACCCAGCCACCGTTAGCAGTAGAGACATTCATTCTACCAGACTGCTCAGGACGACTGCAAGCTCCAGCCCGAGTCAGTGCGAGACCCTTCTGAAGCTCTTCTGTTAAGTGGAACGTCCCATTGAAATTAAATTCAAAAGCCTCTCGCTGACAGCGTTAATGTTCCCTTGCTTTTCCGTTTCCCTTGGTGGGGCTAAGAGGGAAGGAATCCTCAAAGCAGCTTTTCTTTCCC